GACTAATTTGATGTGGATTAATTTCATTAATTAAACTTTTTCAGTAACCGTTAAATCATTTTTTTTTAAAAAGTCACGTTCATTTAAACTTGATCTACTTTTTTTGTTTAATAAACTAGATAGTTTATTTTTTCAATCTCAACGAATTTCCCCCTAAACGTAAGTATATATATATATATATATATATATATATATATATATATATATATATGTATTCATGTATATATAACACTTGGAAACTATTCGAAGTACAAAGATATGAACTACAATATCATGATGTTATAAATTGTTAAATTTTAAGAATTATTGATCATGTAAACATATTGATACTTATTGTGTTACATTTTTAATTTATCTCAAAACAGGAAGTTAAACTAATCCATCAGTTCGATTGAATTCTGTCATACTATTGATCTTTGTGTCGTTTTTAAATAAGCAACTGGTATTCAGTTTCTGTGTTGATTTTTTAAGGGAAATTAGTAATTTGTACTTATTGCTCATATTTTCTAGTGTTTTAATTTGAGTAATATAAACAGTTTAACCATTTGATGCCAGTTGAATACTACAAACATGTGACTGAATTTAAAGTTATGTAATAAAAACAAACTAGTAAACAATGTAATCTTTATTTTTTCATTTTTCAGTAATAACAGTAAATATCTTAAGTGAAAAATAGGATTTCAATGAATTTCATTCTCATTTGATATTCATTTATTTTGAATATTTATTTATCTTAATGTAATTTTCACTACGGGTAGGTAACTGCTGATAAACATTTATAAATTTGAAAAAGGTGGATGGGCAAATTTTTCTTGATGAAGACTGATTAGCGATAGGTGACGACGATTTATTTTAGGCTTCAGAATTCCTAGCAAGTGTGATATTTTCATATCATTATGTCGAATTATTTCGGTTTATATAATATTGTTAACAGATCAATATGATCGGATACTATTTTTACAGATCCGATTGCTTTCATTGTAAGATTAACCTTCTTTATAGGTAACCTTAAAATATAATTATTTCTACTACAAATATTTAAAGCTGAACTAAATGGATGTGTTTATTTAGTTATTGAAGTTTGTTGGCAGATGTTTGGCCTACATTTGGTCTGAGGAATTACTGATCGTTGAATCATATTAATAAAACGTATGAACTATTTTTATGAGATAATATATTATTTCTTTCTTATATCATCTGTTGTAATTCAATACACATTCGTTTTCATTATGTTTGATAAAGTAAGTAAACTGTGGTCATTAATAGATGATATATTTCAGAAAAAGGCTAAACAAATAATGTTACAGATCATATTAGGTCATATTTGTCCACTGTTAATTCATTTGACCTATAAATATTCTCATTCAATCATCACTTATGCTTTTAATGTTATTTAGATATAGTTTTGTTCGTGTGTGCTATTATAACATTGCTTCCTGATATCTAATTATTTTGAGATTTGTGTAGCTATAATTTGATTTGCTAAGTAATTTCCACTTAACCACTTAAAATCGGTACAAACAACACATTGTATATTCACAAACTTACGTGCGTTACCTTCCTATAGCAACAATAAACATAATGAATTAATTAGATTTCGCTCTATTCTCATAAACAATTTTTCGCTTTAATAAAATGATCTAACCTATTCAATAATGCCAAGACAGGTACATTGAATAATAAAACAACCAAAATGATCATTGTGGTTTTCGAAATCTGGTATGAAAACATAATAAATTAGTTGCAATTTGATTGTCTACATAGCGATAGAAAATTGTAAAGTACCTTGAGAATAAATTCAATAAAAATGTACATTTATGGTTACATTTTGTCGAGTAACATTTACTATGGTGTCTCATTAATTTTAACATTTTAGTGTAATATCAATCTGATAAAAATGTGAAAGAAGGTTGTTGTTCTATTTTAGGCGATTTCTTTTCATTTTAGTCGGATTATTATCTCTCATTGTTGTTTATTCTATTTGTTTCTTGTAATGTACTTATCATTTATCCTAACCGTTAAACTTTTCAGTTACTGAACGTAGGTACTTTATAATGTAAGATTACTGAACCAAACAAATAGATTATTATTTATAATATCTATCTTGGTTTTATGAATACATTTTATTGTTTTCTCGATTATTATTTTCCATCAGAAAAAGAACACATTAAACGATCGGTAGTAAACATTGAAATGTTTATTTAAGAAGATAAACAAATGTTTCATTTGATTGGCTTTAATACCTGTCCAACTTTAATCAATAAGGTCTCTAATATTTTTAATGTATCAAATTCAATCCCAAGTGTGTAGATTGTTTTTTTTACTTTGATAGGTTGTATAAACAATTTAAGTACCTTAATGGACAGATAAACACAAAACCGGTTCACTTAAAACGATAGTACATTTTGGAGAGTTTTAAAACAAAGACGACATTATATATATATATATATATATATATATATATATATATATATATATATATATATATATATATATATATATTTGCATTTAGATAGTAAACAAAGTGATATCCCTTTTTAACGTTTATTAAAAATGAGAATTCAGACATTTATCAACAAGTTAATAAGCAGATTTACATATCAAAAGTGTATACCAATTGAAATGTCTCTTAAAGTACTACTTGGGACATTGAAAACAGAAAAATGTTTTCATTGTTTTAAATTTTCGCTTACTTTTCAGAAAATATATTTTTTAAATTTCTATAAGTTGTTCTTGAAGCATCTTGATATATCTGGTCGCCAGTTAATATTTTATATTTGCTTTCCTTCATTTTTTTTTGATGGTTTTGATGAGAAAATGTCTAATTAGTTATTTTTAATAAACTAATTTTCTCAACAAAATACAAATTTTGATTGATTTCTTAGACGTTTCTAGCTGAAATATAATGAGGGAAAGAATGAAGTTAAAAACCAAGAAATCAGTACAGAAATATATTTTCCAAAACTTCATAATCTGGCTTTACGACTATGTATCTGTTTTCTGTATCTGTGAAGGATAAGCTCTGGTCGTTTCCATATGTGTCAGCTATCTCACTTGCCGTTGAGGGACAAGTTGCATAGGCCATAATCAAAGCATGCTTCCAAAACGGACGAGGGTGCATATTCCAGTATGATTCGACAAGGGCATGAGGAAAGAGGTTATGAGTCACATGACAAACCCACGTGTTGATTTTAAGATTGCTCGTAAAATAAACCCATATCTAAGAAGGTGGCTCCCTATCCAATGTCTTTAAACAGCTGAAACTCTTGGTAATCATGAGATAAAACAAGAATGTTTTATACTAAATCAGACTATCATATCCTCATCTTCACCGTACACTTAACCTACATGTCTTTAAAAATTTACCATATTCACATGATGTCTCTCGTAATTTTTCTTGATATCGTCGTACTTAATTTCTCTGAAATTTTAGATTGTTGTTATAAAAGCGCTTTATTCATCATACTCTATTGACATAATGATCCAATATCGGACCATCAATGTTCGACTTCCTTTGTAATTTGTACATCCCAAAGCAGATACATAAACTTTCATAATCATTTGCATTATGCAGACTGGTATTTAAATCGTTCTATTGCATAGTCTAATTTATTCATTGTTTATAAACGTTAAAAAGTTAGCAATACGATAAAACCTACGACATTTACGACACCCAATAATGAAAATTCAATTTTTCAAGCGAAAAGTTTACTCATTCACTTAAATTACCATACGAATTACTTACAGAAATAATAAAATTTAATTTTCGTTTTCGTAAAAGGCTTAACATACTTTATGTAATTTCTTTTAAAATATGAGATATATTAGAGTAATGGGATCTATTAACAATTTTTGATACATAAACTAACTGTTATATTTGGTAAGAATTACTTCACTGAGCCCATGTGATTCGTAAAAAATAAAGATTATGGAGTGAAATGGTTTGCAAGTAACTATACGAATGTTAAACATATTAGCGCTTGCGATTTTCTAATCAAACAAATTTCTATATCCTTAAAATGGCCTAACTAAAATATTATCAATATTATTTGTCTTTTTATGATTAGCTTACAAATTAGCCTTCCGTTGAACATTTTTTCGTGCATTAACGGTATTATAAACGTTTTCAATTATCTTATTACATTCAAAATCAGTATGCCTTTTTGACACATGACACACATTTGTATTGAAGTTATTGTTCCACTTTATGGAACTTGTCTTTGACAATTAAATTATATCATATGATGAAATGTTAGCACACATTCTATATTTATCGCACACTATAGTACTTTAATCGTTTATTAATTAACTCAATTCATTAAAATAATTCAAGAGACAATGAAATGAAATTGTAGATCATAAATTATTTCGATAATTTGTACGTATCTTTTACTATTTGTGGTATAAATAAATTTTTTGCAACTGATGTCAATCATTTAAATAACTTTTTTAGTGTTTAGTTTTTCTATACAAATCAAAATATTTACATAGTGAGATGAATATTTTGTGTATCATGAAGCTTTCATAATGAAACGCTTTAATCTATCATTGAATATGGTGTTATCACACTAACGTTCAAAGATTGAAACTATGTTTACCAATTATGTAATTTATAGGGAGAAAATAACTTTTTTTTCAAGTGATTTCGTGTTTATGGTCTTATGATTATTGATTAGATACCGGTTGTTTAAAAATTCATTTTTGATTCATGACCAGGGAAATATTGTTGTCGATTCATAGTATAAGAACTGAAATGCTTTGAAAATTATATAAACAACCATACTTTTTTGTAATAAGATGAAAATGGTTATGCCGTTCGGTAAAAGACGTTGATTGTCAATGAGCAAATCAACATTAAATTAAAAATTTGGTAATTAATTGCGATTAAGCAAACAAAAATATTTGCTTTAAAGTCATATGTAGCACATTTATTAAATATTTAAATGAGATTTTTGAAATATATTCTATCGGTAATTTCCTTTGAATTTTTTTTAAAATAGGGGTATCATTCGTATTCGAGTAATGGATGATAATAATTATGAGAAATCAGAATATTTCTATGTACAACTTGGTGAACCAGTTCTTATTGACAAAGATGGTAAGATTATATGTTTACTAACTTTTTATTAAATTACTCAGTTACTGAAATTTTATGAGGTTTATTAAATCATAACCAGTATGTTAAACAGATTGTTTTCACTTTATACTTTATTTAATGGATTAAAATAACATAAAGATTTTATTAACCTTCAAATATCAAAATGTTAAGTTGTGATGTCGAATATTGAAAACTGACATATTTGCTTATCGATAGGTTTTAAAATTCTAGGTTTCCTTTGCAAATAGATCATGTTTGATCTTTTCTTGAAAGTTCTATAATTGACATATAATGATAATGGAATCAGTTGAAAAATGTCTGGTATTACAACTTGATATTCTTCTTATTGTGATGTTAAAGAATATTTTCAAATTTGATTTTTCAATTATTTAAGAATTACTATTTCATGTTCGTGTTGTCAATATTAGTAGTTAGTTTTTCAATTTCTTTAAAATAGATTTTTATTGAACACTAGTTGGCCGTAATTCTATTTTACAGTTAACAATTCAGTTGCTAATTTTAAAAAGAACTTCGAACCTGTTTGCCAGTGATGACGGTGAAAGTGAGATTTAAACATCAGTAATCATGATTTTTAATTAACTAACGGATACTACTGATTATATTTTAACTTTAGTTCTTAGTTAGCAGTTCATGTAGAATTCGTTTAGAAATGACAAAAGAGGTTTCAATGATACCTATAACTATAAACATTTATAAATCAAAGTATATTTGTTTCAAAGATCTTTCCAACTCAAGAGAATCACTTTTTCTGATTGTATAATATTCTGTTTTGTTCTTGTTTTTTTTCTTGTCTATTAACTTTTTAATGACTCATTCACAAATAACAAAATCAACAAATGTACATTCGTTTGCGTTTTTTAACAGAGTTCTTTACAAAAATTAAACAGAAATTCACTTCCGTTTCCGGGTAATCAACAGACTGATGAAAAATTGAATTCAATGTTATCTCAGCATTAATCATTTATTGTAACGTTTGAATATTTATGTAAATGGTATACAAGAATCACTATTTAATTATTTTGTAATTCTTTGATTTAAATAAGTGTTTAAATAATTGTCATCAATATTGCTTAATCATATTTGGTTTAATCAGGCAAAACTAACGAGATAATATGAGCTCTTGCATTTCGTGTTTTCTATGTAAATGCTTACAATTGAGAAACAATAGTATTAACCATTTCAAACTAATGTGCCCACGTTATACCAGATTAATGAGATTATTAAAAAAAGCAGTAAATATTGAACAAATATGAAAATGTACTATTGGTTGGATAACTAAATGGTATCTAGTGTGAAACCATAAAACATTTTATTGCGCTATTGGAGTTTGTCAACTTAGTGTGACATTCATGGATGAATTCTTTTTCGATGTATACGATGAAATGCCATCGCTGAAATAAGACATGTTTAAACGTATTTGAGTGGTGTTTATTTTGAACGAACCATTTGTATCGATTATTCGAATCTTCCTTTTGATCTTTAGGACTGAAATTGGCCTGTCACTTTTTGGCACATTTAAATTCTGTACGGTTTGGTATGATATTCCTTCACTTCATAAGGATTATATGCAGAGATAAATGGTGATTAGCAGTAAAATCCAGGACACGCGTTTCGTCTTATTCTGGGCCTCTTAGCTAGATGTATATTGTGACAAAACAGCTATCCGGTAGCTTATTCTGGCCTTCAATGCTCATCTAGCTTAAGCCAGTACATGACGTAGATTAACATTTGAACTATCACCTAGAACGTTCTAAATTAACAACAACATAAGAGTTTAATTTGTTTGTGTCAGTTATTTGAATCATCCCACTGATGTTAGGAATTATGACTGATTAGTCTATAATCACATTCCATCTCTGCTCGTAATGCTTGTGACTTGATTCTGGAATTGTGATAATCCTCATAGAATGCACATATTTCAAATACAGACTGAGATAACAAGTATAGGCTTTGATAATTCACTCAATCATTTTTATAGAACGTTTAGTTTGAATGAAACAAAACGAAGTATTAATATAAATTGAGATCCATTTAAAGTATTTGTATAAGACAGTTGATGTATTTACATGTAATAAATTATTGTACTCACCAGTACAACACAGAATAACCTATAAACATGACATTGTCCTCGATATCTTTATACAAAAGGATACTTACTTCAAGAAGTATATTTTCATCTCACGTCTGCGTTTACTACTTGTAAAATATCAAAATGACAGTAAGCTCATGAAAATTATTTGAGAAACGGGAAAAAATCTATTCGTGAACACAAAAACATAATCTTGTTATCTACAGAGCTTTTACTTTGTACGATTTTTGTAAGTTCTGTGAATTCATATCATCAACACCCAGGTAACATTAAACCTCATATGATTAATTCTATAAGAAATCAAGTACGTAATCTAGTACATGGGAAACAAGTTTCTTTATGATATCTTTATCTCATTTAATGACATATTTGTTAATAATCGATTACCTCCATTGGTTTTAATTCCCATGTGTATCTATAAGTTTGTGGAAAACATACTCAATACCAATTGATACTAATACAATTACTACATTGAAAAGATTGCTATTACATCACATTTCATGTAAATAAATGAAATTATAGACGGCTAGTTGTTTAAGAATCCTTAATATATATTTCAGGAACACACATGTTGGTGTAATTTTTATGCTGTTTTTACTGTCTTTAAAATAAACCCCTTCTCGAAATGTTTTCCGTACTATTGGATGATTAATATTATGATACATAATGCTATATTAATATATATATTTGTTATTCATGAATACGTTCGTATAACACTCGTTTTAAACTCAGAGTAATCACATTTTCATGGACTTGTTAAATATTTATAGAGTATCACAAAGTATATAGTCTTTGAGTAAACACATTTTCGAAAATGGGAGAATTTTGCCAAAAGACAGGCTTCCACTCGAGAGTAAGCACAATATTTAATGAAAGAAAGATGCTGTACTACTGTGAAAATTTAGTATATACAATACTTAACTTGAGACCATATTCATGACTATGTTAAATATGTATTGATCTTAGTTAATCAAATTGAAGTGTTAAATTATGATGAAGATTATTACATTTCTACGATGACCATGAAATTTCTTATCTCAATTTACTTAATCGGAACATTTTTTGATAAAACCCATTAAACTGAAATTTTGGTTTATGTAACTATTTAGAAGTTCAAGCTATTCTTGTAGAAAATGTAAACAATCTTAAATAAAGTTTTGCATTTTAAGCACTTTTTAAAAAAAAACTTGTACCATACCTTTTCTTACTTGTAATCAGATAATGATATTTTACTGTGATCAGTATGAACTCCTAAGATTTTCTTCAAAACTATCAGTCTTTACTAGACTTTTTTTTCATTTTTCACTTTTTTATATATGTCAATTAAAAAAACACACAACCGTGTTATACGTTTCGATACCATTTTTAACCTATAACGTTACTGCTATCATGTGACAATTTTATCGAATTGACATCCACTTTTCTACAAAACAAGATGGTATATTCATTAGTTGCTTCAATTTATGATCTTTTGAGTAGATCAATGAAAATTATATATTTTCCACTTGAGGATTATGAGAATAATTGTTTTTTTTACATTATACTTTTGATTATAGATGGCGACTTTTATTGATTTTATCTCATTCATCTATGACAAGTCATTTAATCCTCAATAATAAATTAGCTTTAAAAATAAAACCCAAGTCATTATAATTTTGTTTTGCAATCTCATTTACAGGGCTTAAATCCATGATTGAAAAAAATATGCACTCAGCAATATAATTAAAGTAGTTCGCTACATAAAAAAAAATGGAATTGTTATCAGTATTTAAATGGTGAGGCGAAAATTTCTCACAATTTAAATACATCTATAATCATTAAACATTTATTATGCAAACCTTTCATTTTCTGCTAAATATTCATAGACCAGTGATTGTTAAAAGAAAAACATTAGTTATGGTAATACAACTTTCTCTGTCTACTTATGATAAACTAACAAACATCTTTAGAATTTCACATTAAATTCATTCAATTTAACAACAGTTATGTCATTTAAAATACTATGAAATCCGCTACAAAAACGTTCATAAACTAATCGCTTTCATATCAAACGAAATAATAGTGAACACGTTCCATTTATTGACTTGTAAATATAATTTTAAACGATTATAATAATATAATTTATACTTAAATTTAGAAATAGCAGTTGTACGATCCATGGATAAATTCCGTCGAGCTCGTGAAAAAATTAAAGGTTAGTAGTTAAAACATTGGGCGTTTACAACAGTGCTGATTAGGTTAAGCGCTAAGTAATTACCGCTTTTTTTCTTTATACTTACTATGCCTTTTCATCTATAAATTAGTTACTAATAAAAAAAACTAATCATATTCCTTAAAAATAATCCTTTATATCACAATGATCTAACAAAAATTTTGGTGAAGTGACTAAATTAAAACGATAATTTATCTTGTGTATTTAGTTTTGTGTCTTTATAATCACATTCAATTTGTTTCATCTAACATGAGTGCATTTGGCTTTTAGTTTTTTTTCGCGCACTATTTTATTTAACCACTCAATAGTTTTTACTAAAAAAAACAAACAAATCGCACTCCATTTTGTTTGAATGCGTACATATTTAAATTAAGCTTTATTATCAGATATTGGATTGCTTCATAGTGATCAATACAAAATACATGATCATATCTTTCATAGTAATCTGTTTGTAAATACACTTATCAACAGATGTATATGTATTGATAAAATTATATCCTTTTCGTAGTGGTTAATTTTAAAAAAGTATGACTGATATTTTGAAAACACCATTTCAATCATTGTACACAATATCTAACGGTTTATTGATGTGTGAATAGTTGGATCTTTGAAAACGTAATGAGAACTTTCATCATTACTAATCTTCATTTATGCAGTTTTTAAACAAGGCAAGTTGAATTATTAAACCTAACATGTAAGTTCTATTTAAAAAATGATGATGGAAACTAAAGATGGTAATGATAATAACTAACATATAATGTAACAAAGAACCATTCTACTTGTATGCATTAGTTTTATTAATTAAAAAAGTGGTTTATATTTCCTACCATGGGACAAATAACACAAATGACGCAACTCAACTAAACAAACTGGTCAAAAATAGTTTTAATAGAATAATGTTCCCTAAAGAAGCATCTTTCTTTTCTTAACTCCGTTACTTTCCTTCCTTTATTTTGTCAGTTCCACTCATTTCTGCTATTAAAGTCTAACGATCGAATAAGTTTAACAATTTTGTTATGCTACTTGAATCAGTATATTAAACTTTGCTATTTTCCAAAATTTATCATTGATCTTAAACTATATTGACAGATTATCTGCCTTCCAGTTATTCGAATTAGATTTGCACTTTTTCAGATATCTTATATTTTTTGTTAATTTTGTTTCAAAAGTTTTCCTTCAAGAAAAATAAATAGAAAAAAAACCTGTTTATGATTAATGGATTACAGAATAGAAAATTTTAAAAGACGGTTTACCAATATAATTTTGAGTAGACTAATTATCTTGAATAATGAATGAATAAATGAAGTAGTTTTAATTAGTTTCAGTCATTGGATAACAAATGAAATATATAACAATCTCAAAATCATCTTTATTATTTTGTGTTAGAGAAAACTCTGATTGAATAGCTATAAAGATTCACTTTGCACTGTCAAGAGTATGATTTTCAGAATTCGAATTTTGGAGAAATCATCGGTTTGGTTTCAGATTCTTACTACTTGTTACATACATTCGAAAACGCTTGTAATCCTTGTTTAACAAGCAATTATTGTCAGTTTATTCAATTATAATCGAATTATTTTGAAAATAAGCGTCACAGATTTCTTGATATTGAGGCTAGTTTTGATATGATATTATTAGCTGAAGTCTCTGAATATCGCATTGGAAAGGATGAGTCTGAGGCTACTAATAAAAGTCAAGGCGAAATCAAGGCATACTACCACATTTTTCTATTAATCAGATAAAGCAGTGAGACTGCTTGATCTCATCATCGTTAATGCGGATTTAATAATAAAGATTATGTGAATCATTTGACCAGAGGAAGGCTTTATGGCAAGCAGAATGGCGGTAAGCTTTTCTTGCGGTTGTACGATTCATTTATCGCTCGAATCTCATTTTCGAAATTCGGTAATAAAATGCTTACTCATGATTGAAACGTCGTTTTAAAGGATTATTGTTGTATTAACTCATAAATATTTCTGTGATGTGTTATTCGGCATAATTTTTTGCAATTTAGTTCTATGGCAGTGCTTTAGAGAAGTCACGTTTATTTCAAGATTAGATTGAATGGACTATAAATTATTTACTTGTTTTGCCCTTTAACTGAACGGATGGCTAGATAATGTCATTTCACGTAATCATTAGTTACCGCACTCAACAAATTGGATATCTCCTGGAAACTCTCAAAAACATGAAGTCCATCAAGTGAACAACTATCTTCTGTCAGCACGACATTCTTAATTCCTTTACCATTTCTTAATTATACTGATTTTCAAAAGAATTATTCGTTCAATCTTTAATAGAGACAGCAATATTCAATGTTGGAAAGTAATTTCTCTCCCAAATTTACTTTGACAGCAACGAGAAACGTAGTTTAAAAAGTAGAGTTAAAAAATAAAACGGAAATTTTGAAAAAAATGAAGAAGCACCTGCTCACGTTCAGAAAGTTTATACAAAGCAAACTAGACAGAATACACCTTAAGTTACGTAAGAATCACATGTTATTTGTATAACAAAATTGTTCTATCCAAAGAATTTCTAAGTATTATGCGCATGCAGTACATATGTGTAAAAGCTAGTCATAAATTCGGTTGTTTCATCCAGCTAATAGGAAGATAATTTACCATACATCTTGATCGACGATAGAAAAAAATCTAACTAGTTAATGGATGACGTTTCCTACTTTATAAAGGTCCAACGATAGACCAGTTATCCAAATAGGAATGCAAAATTACAGTGTTTTTAAATTTAGTTTATCTTGAATTATGTCAGCCATTTTAACCATTGCTTTTAGGTCAGTGTCACATAGCTTATAAACGGAATTAGTTTAGATTAAATGCTTTATCACCAAAGTAAATTATCCTTTCAAAATTTGACTAAGCTATCTATTTTTTAGTTGAGTATTGAATTGTTGAGGTAAAATATCTTTATTTTACCTTAGTAATTCTATAACATGCCTAATGTTTCACTGATTGGTTACTTGCATCTTTTGTGTTTACGTCCATGTCACCAGCTGATACCATGAGATATAAATAACGAGTAACTTTTTGTATTGTTCAATGGTAATCTAGATTTTAAGATGATCAAGATATGATAGTGTTACTGTTACACAATAATATGTTTCTTTAAAAAAATAGAGCCATCTTTCCGTAACTGATTATATTTAATATTAGACTTTTGCTTAGTGATAAATTATTTGAAAGTATAATAATTTTCACCAACCAATTGATCGAAACCAAGTGAAATTAAAATCAAATCGCATAGGGTTACTTACATTCTAAGTTATAAAATTGTGTTATTGAACTTATTTTCTTCAAACATTTATTTTGTTTTGTTCTCATGGTTTGTCATATGAAACGCAAGTTGTCTTACGTTATCCACTGACTGAACTTTTTCATAATGAAAACAAAATTTTGGACGTCTTTCTTCAAATAGCACAGATTACAAAACATACAAAGCTTCTTCAATCTAAAGAGTTGTTTTTCTAATACCAAGGGATTTATACTTATTTTCATATCTACATCCATGGGAAATAGAGTTTCTGGAAATTTCATTCGCAGAAAAGCTTTCCTCACAAAATCATTCTATGGAATGTTTATTGCCTCTCAAACTTTCTTACATCGTACATTGATTTTAATGTAAATTTTAATTATTTAATTTTGATTGCCTTCTATAGTACTGGAAATCTGACTTAGGATTCCTGAATTTCCTTTCACTTACTAGGGCTTTTCTCGAAAATAAATGACAGTTCATAATGTAACTAAAATACAAGAAGTTATTGGACTTTGTTGTTATTAGCAACCATATTATGGTAACCAGTGATTCAGTGTTTCCTATTTGGGAAGAAATTTTTTCAGATTTCAACGTACGATTTATTTCCCTACTAATCTTGTTCGGTACTTTTCCATAAGTCAATCTGCCTTAGTACTACACCCATGAATATAAAAAATGATGGGTTTTGAATGTTTTTATTTCATTTATCAGGTTGTATCATGTCCAAATCTTACGTAATCTCATCGTACGACATACATAAACTGCTCATTCCTGAAATGACAAAAACATAGTCGTATCACGTTTCTGCTGGATTTTATATTTATTCCGTACACTTCCTGTTATTCTCCTTCATTATAAGTACTGGTTACCAAAACATGAATGCCCAAAAAATGCAAACGTTTTCTTGGAACAGACAATTATTGTTGGTGAACATATATCAATCATTTATATGGTTTATTTTATTTTACTATTTTCCGGAAGATTACATTGAAGAAAATATACCACTTCAATCTCCCCCTAAACAATATCATCATGAATAACCAGATTATTTTGAATATCACCGATTATTTCAGTTGGTAATAATATCTTATGCTATCTTAAGGTATAATTGATTAAGCAACTAACTCACTCAATATTTAATAAGTTCATTCACGCTTCACTTTCTTCCATCTTACCGGCTAGCCTCATGAACTCTACAATCTAACCATCACTGCAAATATAAATCTAATGAAAACTGAATCTTTGAAAAATATGTGGTTGCCCCAGCTAGAAGAACTATTGAATATTCATAAATATTGTCATTCTGAGGACTAACTAAGCTTATGGTTTCTTACTAATAGCTTCTCAGCGTTTCTTAAAGATGTAATAAATATTTCAAATTTACCCTAAACTTCCACGCTTCTATGATGATTCTGATTGGGAAACATAATTTATAAAAAGGTTTTATTACCGGGTTTTTGTGCGAAACTAAAATGAGACTTACTCTCATGTTAAGATGTTTTAAATAATATTATCATTCTATCACTTACTTAGTTCACCTGACTTTTTTTAACCTTGGAAAAATATGAAAAATTTAACATTTTACTTTACACAGGAAGTGATTTGATAAGGAGAATACAGTCAAGAGTCAAAATTAAATCTACCGTAGAGACTGACATCACTATAAGTGAACAAAATATTATGTATTCCTAAGAGACGAATCACAAAAAACACTAGATTAGCAAATTTTATCACTGGTTAGCACCAATGCGAATGACGTAATAGGTAAAAAACTGTTACATACCATTTTGGAGTATTTATTGATCGTTGTCGATTTTTCTACATATATACGTCACTGTACGAAACATCTGTAGAATGTCCTGTGATTACTAAACATGGGTATTTAAACAAAACTGATGCTACGAATGTATTTAAATACTCCTATAAAAATCAATAATCTCTCTTAGTCTTCTTTAAATATTATTCTTCTAACAAATGCTGTTCTTATAAAACTAAAGTGATCATTTCATCTCTTTGAAAATGTTGTTTAACTAGCCTAGTCAGAGTTATTTATATACTTCTGGAAACCTCTTTTACTTTTTCGAAATGAGATGTTTTAACTAAACGCATGAGTTGGCCTTTATTTGCAACCTCTTTGGATATATAAAACTATGCTGTTTCAGTGACTCATAATTATGTGACCTTTCAAAGTCAGATAAGTGGGACTTTATTCTGCGATCACACTGGATGTGAATACATCACCATAAAGTTCAGTTGAAAATTTACAATAAATCACAACAGTAGATACAGCGCCCTACACTTTTTGGTTTGATTCACCTATGAAGACAAATGTAAATAGGAAAGGAATATTATCGTTGAGTGTTATTTTACTCCTGGCACAAATTATTCCCAATGAAACAATATACTACTTGTGTGATTGCATTAAAAACAACAACCTCAATTACTGTGTGTAGAAACACTATCTAAAATAACTGCTCTACCAAAAGACTAGTATGTAGGAAGCTAACTTGTATCATGCGAATTTTTATAACTCGGTCTCATTAGGCAGGGGAAGATTATTCTATGTTTCATCCTTGAGAGTATGAAATGTATGCGCTGTTGATATATTTAGTGACAATTTATTTAAACGCCATTGAAGCTTCTAAAATACCGAGAAATTTATGCTAAAATATATGCATCCAACTAACTTAAACGTAATTTACACAGTGAAATCGCAACAATTTATCACTTATAAAGCTTAAATGCAATAGCGAGTAGGTGCTATTTCCTTTATTGCAGAATTCTTTCAAACAATATCTCGAATATGTTCATGATAAAGTTAAACAATAAGAACGTTCAGTTTTATTTCCCCATAAATGACTGTCAGAACATAAGGGCTCAAACTGTTAAACAGTCGATTATGAACCACTTGATCAATATGTGAACATAACACTTATCGTCAAACATTTTAAATAATGTATTGTATTGAAAAGAAAATGAAACCAACTGGAGAAGCACTGAAAGTTAAAGAATGACATATGTTTATCTCCGTTTAAAATAAAACTTTCTCAGTAAATAATCACATGCATCTTATAGTAAATCAATTTTCATTTATAACACTAATTGATAATCATATGATGTTCTGACCTGATTGAAGTTTTTAAATGAATTTCAATATCACTAGTTCTCATGCTCTGTAACTGTTTCTAAAGATTCATTTAAAAGCTTTGAATACCCACACATTATACTATGCAACTGTGCTAAGACTATATACTCATTATTAGTTAGTGATACAAATTATCGATATTTTGGTTAAATTCTGATAAACCTATCTATTTATTTGTTTCAGATTAGATCATTTAAAATAAAATATCTCAATTTTACTTCACTTTTAAAGTTAATTATATTTATTTTTGGAAGTAACTAAGTATTTCACTTGGTATTGTTTTGCTTGAATCTTCCCATTGAGATTTAAGACTGCACTTGATCAGTTTTTTATTGGCATATGTGCATACTGTTCGCATTGCCTCGATATTCCCTTATTTCACAAGCTTTTATAAGCAAAGATTAATAATAGCTAGCAGTGGAATCCAGTATTGACTCGGAGACTCCACCGCAAGCCACTATCCATTTTTGCTTATAATTAAGTATTTATTAAAATGTTCCCATTAAAGCAAATGGTATGTTTTTTATCTTTGCACGTATATTTTAATTAATACCAAATCTTTTGAGACTGTTTTATTGTATTGGTTTGTTGTGATTCTCAAAGTGTATAACAAACAAAATTAGTGTGAAATTACATAACCAATTTTCGCTTAACTTTCACCCACCAGGGTGCTTGGTACCTGTGTGGTTGCGCCACAGGATTGAGCTGTACTATTCAGATTGTAGCGTTAAAGCCTGTACGGTGTCTGGTTCCTCTGCTAAACGGGGTTGAACTGTACTGTTTGGGTTTTTGCATGAAAGTCTGAATGGTGTCTGGTTCTCCTGAAAACCAATGTAAAATTACGCTGGCCCACAAGGGTATATTATATAACTAATAAATTTAAGATAAACATTTTTGAATTTACCGAGACTATTCAGTTTTAAATATTAGCTCTTCTTTTATTGTTAAATATTCTAATGAGTAAAATACTATAAGTTTAGATGAATTCTTAACTCCATTGTTGAAAAGAAATGAACTAACTATTTGATTGTGTGTAATGTGTAATACACATTTCAAGCTGAAATCATCACAGTTTTGTAACATCAACAACGTTATATCTCATTTTTGTTTCATCTAACATAATATTGATATTTTCTCTTCAAAACTTCAACACGTAGCTATAAATGAATGGGAAACAAGTAAGCTTAGATTTGAAATATTCATACTTTTTCGCTAGTAGTTGTGTATTTTCTTACTGTACATTTTCTTTTTGAAATCATAACTACACAATACTTATGCACAGATTAAATAAAGCACTTGTTTTTTTAACTAGTCATCGTTTTAGATTTTTTTCCTTAATAAATAACAATACACCTAGTATTGTACAAACACCTATTTGTATGTTAGCGATCTCTTTCTTCTTTTATTTGTTAAATTATGTTTGGTTTTCCTAGATATGCACAAACATTTGCAGTTATATAGACACACACACACACTGAGTTAATTTTTGCAGTTATAACTATATTTTTCGTCGATAATATTTATTAATTTGCATGTTTAACTTTACTCAGAAGAATCACTTATTCTTAATGTGTGTTTCTGTTGTCATTACCCGTGTTTTGTTGTGTTATCGCATGTGTTATGAATTAACTATCGAAAATTAGTTTTACTCACTCAATAGTAATCTTCATCTGATATTGTTTTCTTTTTGCACTACCAACATTATTTTTGTAAATTGTAAACGCACATATAGATACATTTTAGTTAAAAAGGAAGTCATATTTGTATTTATTTCTTTTACTGATATGCTTACAAATGATTATATATATTATCAGAATGGGTTTTGTGGAGAATTTTAGAATTTTCACAGTTTTTTGAAATCATGAGTCAGTTGAAGCTAGACCACCATTGAAAACCCGCGTGGTGCGGGATCGTGGATGCGCACTGCTGAGGAGTCCCATACCAGGACGAAACGGCCGTCCAGTGCTTCCAGGTTTTCAATGGTGGTCTAGCTTCAACTGACTCATGATTTCAAAAAACTGTGAAGATTATATATATATATTAGATTTGAATCCGAAGTTCTATGATATTTTTAAAATATTACAGTATTCATTGGTGCATGTAATGGCGTAATTTTCACTTACGATTAGGTGATAATTCAAAATGTTTTTTCTCTCTCTTCACTTATCATTACATGTGAAAAATTGAATCTTTATAAAGAACATTTTGTTTGTTTGACAAATATCTTAACATATATCTATAGATTTATTCTACTTATACATCGAATTCTAAAGCATATATCATTGGGTTTGTTACATTTACTAGAAAATTGTTTATTTAAAGACAACGCTACATTTTATGATTTTTGTTTAAAGTAGTTTAGCTGACTGATATAGTTATTTAAAGCTTCAAGTTGTATGAAAATATGTTGGTTCAGTGTTATTTTAATTACCATGTTTTTTTTCTAGAATTTTATCTTAATATAATCCTTTTTTTATCTATACGTTACAAAAATGAAACAAATCACAATTATCTGTTGGTAATCTATTACCAGTTAAACATAGGATGGATGAAGTGACTCAAATATGTCTTCTCTATGTACCATATGAATTGCATGGCGTTGCGTCAATAATTTAACTAAATTGTGATTGGCTACATAGTACATTTCCAGATATCTTAACATTTAAGATAACCACAAAGTTTACTTATTGATCCAATGCAAAGAGAAATAACTACATTACGCATCAATAAAATGCTATCAAGTTGTCATAAAACATATTGTGTTATTTTTTTATCCTTAAGCGAATATAATTTACTTACTTGCATCCGTTGCCCCTCGTGGAGGAGCATAGACCGCTGTCGGATATAGGTCTCAGAAATTCTAAATCCTAATGAATTATTAAGTAATAATCTATTTATATTTGCACGGGTCTTAATTGTTAACCTATTTCTACCAGACATTTATGAAATAAGTGTGATGAGATTCTTCACTACTCAATGGACTATATCAGATAATATAATAACTAAGTAAATAGCTGATGAAGTCTACGTATTCAGGCATCACAATGAGCAAAATTAAACTTTATCCTACAGTAAATGCCTAAAAATATTATATTAACTCTACTTCAGCTTGAGTCAATAGAAACATGAAGATATTCTTATGAATTATATATATATATATATATATATATATATATATATATATATATATATATATACTTTTTATTCGGTGTGCTATAATACGATCTCTGATGTACCTCGTTTATCATTGTGCTATTATAAACTATTTACAACTTGTTCTTTTTACTACCACTGTAATAACGCTTGCTAGTAATGTTCTTTATTCTTCTCTGTGATGTTTATTTTATGTAAAAAAAAACTGTCTCATTTTTGTTTCATACTCAAGCCTTTATTTTAACTATGGTAATGCATATTATCTGCGCACATTTAACAGCCTCATTATCGATGTGTGATAATATTGATGCGTATTACAGATATAAATAATGTGTCTACCAGTGCTTACGATTTGTCCATTAATCATACGTTATTCTGCCAATTTTCAATGTCGGTTTAGTAAAACTACTTGCCAGTAGTCAGGGTTTTATGTTCTTTAAGATACAGTAACTCGAATTATGAAATAATCTTGTCCTTTTAGACCATATCACCATTCTACTTTCAATAATTCGCTAAAGGCACTGATTATGTAACATTCTAGCCTATGAACAATTTTTGTTTATTTTGCTTGTTATTCGGAACAATCTTTAAGCAAACCTGTTGCTCTAATGTAGTCAGAGAAACTTTTCTAATTTTTCTACTGAAAAAGTCTTTCCGTATTAAAGAATCTTTTGGATCTGTCAACCGTAAACATATTACTCTATATTGCAGTAATGCACTTTTAAAATAAATGCTTCGTTATTTAGTAATACACAATTTTCTGAATCATACATTTATGTCCATATTCTCTTCTTGTTAAAGAATGCTTATTTTTATGGATTGACATGCGTATATGTAACTTAACATACAAGTTCATTTATGTAAGTATTTTTACCAGATTTTAATTTTAAAAAATCATAATAATTCTGTTTCTATTTTTGTATAAAAAACAAAAATACCAAGATATTTCCTATTCAATTTGTTTCCTCTAGGTACTACTTACATTATCCTCTTATGAGAGTATTTCAAGCGTCTATTAAACTTTAGGTAACAATCAAATCCCTACATACTAAGGATTTTATCAAAAAACATCAATTTGTCGTTTTTGAAATTAGCACCAATAATAATCTAAAATTTTTCTTTTCCCCTAATTCCAGTTCCAAGTCATTTATTTGCACGCATTACTCAACGCTCAGATAGTTTAGTAAGTCGTACTAGTTCAACGAAAAAGCGTAATTCACAAACGCCTAGTGCTAAAGATGTAAATTTCAATCCACGTAAATCACTTGGTTTCGTAGAAACTGGCCAACCGCGATTAGGTCAACCAACAAGAATTAAGATTACAATTACAGAGAGTACAGAATTCAAGGTTAGTTAAACGTCTTTTTCAATATCAATATTTTTGTGATTACTGTAATCGCAGTTCGATTTTACGGGACAATCAATAAAACCTTTATATCTTTCACCGTTTTATAATAAATGCGCCCTAATAAAGTTGAAGGTAAATGTTAACGATCCAATAAAAATTCATTTATTTGCCAGCGTTTTTTGCTTAAACTCATTGCAATTAATTTTTAGCAAGAAATAAGCTACTTTTGTTTCACCTATTAATTAAACTTTTCAATGGAATAACATATCTTGGTCATTTCTAAGAGTTGTTTGAATCTTCAACTCCTCAATGTTGAGTACTGGGATTGATCATTCTCTTTTAGCATATGTGCATCCTTTGTGGATCGCCTGTAAATCACCATCAAGCTACGAGCATTTGGAGTAGATTACAACATTGGCTAGCGTAGAAATACACATCTCATACTTCGGGGTATGCAGGACTCGCCAGGTGGATAAACTTGTATCTCAGTTTTAATATTCATACCAGGACTCAAACACAGTAACCCCTGCTTCAACTCTATTCATATAATATGTGTATTATATAATAACATCGAGACAAGGAGGGCAGGATCACTTATGCTAAAGGAAACTAATCATTCCTTAACAATAACAAATTCAAGATTAAAATAACCTTTATAAGCGAATTAAAATTTACCCAATGTCACAAGCCCTTGACTACCTGGGCTATGAGAATAATATGTTTAACATTTGAGCCGAAGGATACTACATTCCCGTCTTCGTGTGAATATCATCAAGTGTCCGTATTTCCACTCCTAACCGGTATGGTACCAAGCTTAATCTGATAAATATTTCATTGCAACTGGAAATGTTGTTTTTCATAATGAATAGTATACACTAACACTTGTAAAGTTCAGCAATGCCATGATGCTTAGAAAGTTAACGTAATATCATGTCGGTTTCATGATTCTTCGGTAACTTGAAAAGAACAACTTCATAAACCATTATTTGATATACTTTAGTCAAGTGCAGATTTATCTTACTAAAGTTTTAACTTTAACTAGAAATAAATGACTTATAGCCGATGGTATATTTGTTAAGTGGAAGATATAAATCTTACACCAATGAAGTTTCTCCTATTTTCTCAATGAAATATTACGAGATAATCAACATTTCAGACACTTGGTATTAACTTACTAGATCACCAATTTCAAAGAACTATCACTTACGAAGTTAAAATCAAGCGTTATGCCTTGACTTTTAGTAAAAAGCTGATATTTATTGACAATATTTCCCGTTGTCAAGTTATTTCAAAAATAATTTAACTTTAATTACAACTGAATATTTCATGAATGAAAACTGGATGCTGAGTGTTGAAAGCAAGGATAAATAACTGTAAAAATCCTCTGATTAGATTAGACAACTTTTCTTAATCTATATTAGTTAGTCAACTCTTTCATTAACTAGTTAAATATATTGAGTATAATATAAAAATTTATCTGATATATGTAGTTATTTTTGAAAATGTAATGTAATTGGCCTACAGTTACTTTTTTCATGACAGTAATAAATGAATACTTAAAATAATTACTTAACGTTCGGTACTATTTCAAAGGAATGGAATCACATATATTTATTAGTAGTTGGTTATTTTTTAAAGGTTGAGATCATGAGTCAATTGAAGCTAGACTACCATGGAAAACCTGGAAGCACTGGACGGCCGTTTCATCCTATTGTGTGACTCCTCAGTAGTACTTATTTAGTTGTTTATTTAACAGAATATGTAGTGGGAGAGTAAATAAATTATTGTTCGAGTCAATATGACCTTATTAACACCAGTATTCCATTAGTCTGATATTTAAATGTAAAATAATTTAGATTGGATTATTTCTAAAAGAAAAACTTAAACCTCTATCTTAAATATTCCATAACTATCGCTTAAATATATTCGCATATCATTATTCATTTTACTACACATATACAAGCTTTTTAAGGAAAATTGTTAAATTACAGAACAAAAGTGTTTAAAATCTTTATTTTCAGATTTTTGAGTAAGTAATAAACCTTTTCAGTCAGTATAGAATTTTTTTGTCAGACAACTATTATTCAAACATAAAACGGTAGTATTAATTATAAACGTTTGTATTAGTTACTGATGAAAAAGTATTATTTATACTTTTGGAACCATATTTCACAATTAATCAAAGATCTTTTCGCTCTATCAATTACGTATAGAGCAAATGATGTTAAGAACAATAAATGAGTTTTTTAGAAACCAATAGGTGATTTCAGGGAACTTTCTTTTAAATATAAAACAAATCAATGTTGCATAATTCAATTTTCTTTATACCGTCATTGCTAAATCAACAATTCTAACTTCGCATCGTTATCTACTTAAATACCAAGTTAGGATTTATACTGTCTGGAAGACAGATGCTGGTTTCTTTCAAGAGCTTTCTTTTTGTAACTTACACTTCTAAAGCCAAACTGATCAAGCTGTATCTACAAATAATCTTTCTCGTAGCATGTTGTCGGTTTCTGGTTGTTTGAAGTAGTTGTCAGTATTGAGATCTTGAACGGCAATTTCATTATAATTGTAATTCACTTAATTGTACACTCTGAATTATAGCGATAAGCAGTGCTTGACGTAGGCGTAGTAAGTCCCCTCGCAATGGTAAAATGTTCATACTTGTAATGTACATGCCATTCGGTAATGAATATGGAGTGATGAAATGACTTGATTTTTCAACTTGTAACAACTTAGGAAAGTAGTATTTTAATAATAATTCTAAACAAGCCAATCAACTACATGTGACAAAAATGAGGTCTTCAATAATTATTCCTATATTCTTGAAACTAAGCACTATATTTATTTATTAGAATATATTACAGAATTCTTTCGCAAGTTATAAATTCTTTTATTCAGATTAAATTGTGGAACAAGAGTTATATCACGTTCCTGATAGAATAACAACATAATAAATAAATTTAGTAAATAATATTCTGTAAATTTACCATATTAACATTAGCAAACATTTCACTTTATTATTTAGACAAACAGTTGAGAAATAAAAGACAACTTCGCTTCAAAAATAAAACAAATTATCTTCATCAATTTCAAATACTTTCTGTATCAACTTTCAATACTCTGTATCTGCATGATTGTACATTGACCTACTTACATTAAGCAATCAGAATAAAATCAAACGTATAAATATCTAATAAAAAAATCATTCCCCTTTACTATTATACATCTGATTTCCCGATCATGTTTGTTCATGTATTAGTTCATATCAACTACAGTTATGTAATCTGTAGAAAATATTTTATATAGCACTGGATGGCTGTTAAGTGTTTCCAGGTTTTCATTGATGGTCTAACATCAAACGTTTCATAATCTTAACCAAAATACTTAACCATCTTCACAATCCATAATGTAATAAACTTTTTTAAAGTAATCTATAACTAATTTTTCTACTTACTAAAATACTTATTTTTTTGAGAAATTCACATTGCTGTTATTCAATAAGAAGTTGAACAAAAGACAAAACAAAAGTGTTTGTTTTTTTGTTATTTTAATTAAAGTTAATATTGTTAAAGTTAAATGTACTTTTGATGTCAATCAAATCAAATAGTAAACTATGATAAACATATGTCAATCATGTATCAGTATTATTCTGTTATTTCTATGTTGTATTTCATTCTTAATCTACAAAATTTACTTTGTAAGAAAAGTCCATTTAGTGTATTCATTGACAGTTAAAAATATGTACACTGTACTGTATTATGTTTTGTGTTAATATAACAAAATATTTTCATATATTTTATGAAAAGATGATGTTTATTTAATAGGATAATAATATAATTCATCAAATATGACTACTTATAATTAAATGCATATCATCCATTGGTATTTATTTAACCATGAGATAGGATCTTCCAGATTATATTCTGTGATTCATTATCGAATTTAAAATGTTACCATATAGAGTAGTATAAAGTTTTCTAAGAGTTTAATGGTATAATTAGTCAAACTCATATTCTAATTTAAATATGACAACATTATGAAATGGAGAATCGTTCCAATATAATGCTAGATAAATTCATTGCGAAATAAAAATATCAGTGTACGTAAATCAACGTCGAATTATGTCATCATAATCACAGAATTCATATTAACTTCTTTTCCCTACTGACAATTCCATGAATTTACAAGAAGATTTTATATTGTATATTACAAAAATAACTGATTTTCATAATGATTTGCTATGCATAACAAAAATGTTCCATTTCGATGTATCGTTATGAACAATAAGTTAAGTAATGTTAGCATTTATTATCCATTCTATAGTGTTTAATATTTAGGGTTAATATAATAAAATAAATAATAGACATTTTAACTAAAAAAAACGAAAAGATGTAGGTTAAATAAACAAATTCTTCTATTTTGCCTGATTCTTGTTATTTACGAATTTCGTTCTTTTTTTTGAAAAGTTGTCATCTACATTAAGACTGATGTGCTTATCGTTTATTATTTATTTGGTAGTTGTACAAATATTATAAACTAATACTGTGTGAAAAATATCGATTATAAGATCGTACTGGTACAACTATGACCTAAATTTGTTCTGAGAATATCTTCATATTATGTACTATATGAACGCGATCCTAAATATCTTCCAGTTACTTGTTCATATCAAACTTAAACTAAATATTTGGTGTTATTAGTTTGTTTTCCTTATTTACAAAATTGATATATGAGTAAAATTGGTAGATAATTAGTACAAGATTTGTTTCTTCCACTCACAATTTACCTCAAATTATTTATTTCATTTTCATTCGTCTTAGTACCAACATTATATCAAATAGATAAGTAAATAAAAGAGAGAAAAAAAGGAAGACCAAAGAAAACATTAGTTTGTTTGCTTTGCTTCTTGCTCTTTCCAATATTTATTTCTGACGGAGGAGGATACTGCCTAAGAATTTGCTGCGTTTTATTTAATGTCTGTTTCAAAAAAATGATAAGAACACTGTACTATAATTAATCAAAATGTTATTTGTAAATTTATTCCGTTTCTTTTTTATTTCTTGATCACGGAGTCACTTTTTTTACAGGTGGTATTATTTACACAATCAACATGGTCATAAACTTACTTAGCTGTTATATCATTATTTTAAATAACTAGTAATATAATGACATCGATAGATAACATTTTATATTTCAAAATGTTTGAATTTAACTTTCTTGTTAATAATTAACATTGGCTCCTACAATATATCATTGTCAGTGTTTGGAACATATGAATAAATCAGCAAAATCAATTTATAATTAAAGGCATAGTTCATATTTCACCAACATCTAGCTAACTCCGAAGCCAGACCTAAATATCCAATTATTTCGGTCTTAATGACGGTGTTATATAAAGATAGTCTCAGTCAACGTTACTATTGACCTACTGGTTTATTTACAGTTATGTTAATCTCACTGGTTAAAATGTTACACCAGCACTTTGAGAAACCTACCACACTGTTAATATTTAATGATCTTATGATGAATTTCATCTTAGTGATATGTTAGTTTCACCGAAAATGGGAAAACGTAAAATAGCTGTCTTGATCTATTGTGAAACACTTAGATGTGTACTTTTAAGAAACTTCGAGCACAAAAGAAAACAAGTGTTAACGACCTTATCGACGTTCACTTAGCTAGTGTTGTAAGTAAATTTTAAGTTTTTAGTTCATCTGTTTAAGGCAACAACGCCTGAAACATCATGGTTGCCTACTATTGAAATGATGACTTATCATATGAATAAAAATAACTAATAGTCGTCGATATGAAGTTCACATTACTTCTCTTTTAAAAAAAACTAATTTACCAATGAAACAAACAAAATGAATAAATTTCTTGTATCAATTCATAAAAAGGTCTGATTGCATGATTTTCTTCTTATTTATTCTACACTTAAAGTTGACAGTATTTTTTTTCCATACTTAAATTCATAAATTATGTTTATTCAGTAGTATGATTATCATCATCTTAGATTTCATTTAGAAAAAAATAGACAGCTACAACAATTTAAGCTTCTTATGTTTTCTATAAAGTACATTTTATTGTACAACTTATAAATTTATTTCTTTCTTTAAATTGAAATCAGAAACATCAGATGAAACTGATAATTGAATAAAGCAGTAATGAAGTATATTCCTTTTACAGATATTTACTACTGCCTAGTATTAATCCCATGTACTTTATTTCTATCGTTTAAAATACATAATGATATCATTCAATAAAATTAACAACTGCTTATAATAAGTTAAAGATAACAGAAAAAATAATTGACTAAGCTTGAAATTATACAACCATTATGTATTTTAGTGATGATATGATTTTCTCACCAAATTAAGCTTTGTTCACCTTGTTTTCAACTAAATATCAATAAGCTATCAGACTGTTGTTTATGAACACAGATTTTGATAATTATGTAGAATGCTCAAACTATGCCCAACCTACGTTCAGTAAACATCTTAATAATATCAATTGTCCTTATGTTGACATTTTATCTTCAATGTGCATACATAAATCTATAATCAGGAAATGAACTGAGTTAATCATGACACTGAATTTATTACTCACCTTTACAAAACTGAGTTATATCTCAATCGCGCTTTTTTAGGAATACTAAATATTTTACTTAAATAGTTAACCGAATAGATATTACATTAGTTTTGAAAATTATTCTGAGATACATTTGACAGATATACATCTTTCTTTATTATTCAACGTCTTTGTGTTTAACATTTTAGACATTCATAAAGCAACATATGATTTAGCATTTGAGTTATTTGCAAAATGAGATACTGGCTGGCTTATCTGACAAGAAATGTTTTTCAACCTAAAATACGAAGTCAGTAGTATTATGAGTGCTACTCAATTGAACTTTCCATAAAAGAATATCAACTTGGTTAACTCCACATACGTTTCCACATATCCCAATAATTTTTATTAACATTAATTAGAAGGCTATTACTGTTTTCATACAAGCTATAGTAATGAATCGGTTTTTCTATCTTTTTCAGAAAACTGTTGACAGGTTAGTGAAACAAGGGACACTGGCTTTAGTGGTTGGTACATCATCTTGGAAGGAACAGTTCGTTGAGGCAATAACTGTCAGTGCTGGTACGTTATTTTGTATTCCGTTTGCTTTTCAAATATTTTCATTTTGAATATCTATTTTGGAAATACCTTTAATAAGAAAATGATAACAACTATCGAATAGGCAACGGATAAATAACTATTGAATTTCATGAATCATATGTCTTAAAATGAATGTCCAAAAATTTTATACTTCGACCAAAAAAGGAGTCGTAATGAACGGATGCCACAAAACCACGCTAAATACTGGTTCTGCCTAATCATAAATTATAAGAGTTCGAAAATTATTAGTTTCGGTTCCTAACCCAGATTTTGAACAGTGTCAGATTACATCCACTATCAAGCTGCTTTCTCTGTGATCCTTTATGATAATAAATTTGTTCAGTGCCAAACGTCACTGACTATAAACTAAAAGCTTGTTGGAATGAACAATACTAAAAAGCTATGTTTCGTTGTATTTCATAAGTAGAAATGTTATAGTTAACATAATCTTTTACTCAACTCGATTTCTTTTATTTCACTTATCCTTAGTTGTACTATAATATATGTTAATATTTTTCTAATAAAGAGCTTTTAGTACAATAATAAGTAAATTTGAAACTAAGTTATGCTTGAAATCAACTTAAGCTTCTAAGTTTTTGACGATATTTTTACCCGATTTGAATACAGTCTGAAGAAATTCAGTAATCTCAGCGAATGTAGAAATATATTATGTAGACACCATTCATTACATATAGTTATTCTTGTCATTTTTCTCCCTCAGAACAACCATCGACCAGGAGAGATCAAAATGACTCAATAGATTTACTAATCAAGAGTTATTCAAACAAGTTGTACTTAAGCTTCTTTCAGTCTCACAAGACAATTTTAGGTAACTTTGAAAGCATATCACTTCTTACTGACATATAAAAGCTCTTTTGTGGAGTATACATAACAAAGCATAATGAAATTGTATTTAGCCACATTTAACTACATTGTTGGATTGTTCAGCAGCTATATCGGGAATAATATTGACAGTTCAATTACAGAAGTAAAATGAATTTAGTTAAACTGTCGTACCGCATTTCCTGTATAGAACAACTGAGAATAGTAGTTGTAAGCTTATATCTTATTCTGGTCAGTTCTGAAAAACCGATCCACTGCGTTCATAAACTTCCGTGGATCAGCTTTTTGAAAGTTGAATTGTTTCATGTCGAAGCTCTACCACATAATATAATAATGTTTCTCATATGAAGCGTTTGCGATAATAGCAACTTATGTAGGCTTAACACTGACGTATCTAAGTTTACTGGTAAAAAACGTTTATTTCTAAACAGTTAGATTCCAGCTAAATTTTCAGACTACACACAACATTTGTAACTCATAAATTATAAACAAAACGTAACAGATTTATTTACCTCTACTTTCGAAGACATATACGCCAATAATAAAGATAAAAACAAAAATAACTTCAGCTTGCATTTATGAAACGCTGAGTTTTATAACTTTTTCAATGTTCCAATTGCCTATTAATTTGACTGTCATCTTTTAAATTTATCCAATCAGTTTAATTTGAAGATTCCATCCACTCTTTCGTTATTAACTTGATCCGTTTAATTGCTTGAACTATATAAGCAACGATAATGTTTTTTTCCAGGAAAACAGTAGAATACAGAGAATGAATATTTGTAAACAAATCTTTGCTTCATCGTTTTTTTTCTTATTCTATTTCTTCTATTTCTATTTCTATATCTGTTAATTTACACTAATTTGAATTCGAAACATTTGGTTTGTCAAAAGATAAAACACCATAGTTTTCATAGTTTGTTCAACCTTAATTCAGATAGATAAAATAGTCTCTGTCACTAATTATATAAGATTGATTCGCGGTTAGTTACAAATGTCTTCTTGAGGTTACTGAATACCACTTTTAATAAATAATTTGCCGATGAGCTTTTTTCTTATGTATAAGCACATTAATCGTATCGAAGTTTTACAGCAAATGCAAGAAATCAAACATTGTACATTATTGTTTGAGTCTTGACATTTTTATTCTTCTATATAACTATGATATTTTGTATTTCTTTTTCGTTTGTTTTAAATATCAAATTTTTGAAAAAAAAGGAGGCGATGTTGACGACGATGAAGGAGAAAAATTACCGACATGCATGGATTATGTGATGCATTTTTTGACCGTTTTCTGGAAAGTTCTCTTTGCATTTGTTCCACCAACAGGTAGATACTATATATTACATTTGTGATTACAGTCAGAAAAATGAAATATTAATGCATGTTATTACACTTTGCAGTGGAATTATTCACTTAGTTAAAACGGAATCACATTATAATTTATAATTACCCTTAATGAGTATATTAATTATTAATGGAAGCACGTAACTAGTCTCTTATTGAATGTTTTATATAGCGCTAGCACACGGTATCTTTGATTGTTAAATTACAAAAAAAAATCCATGCATAGATTATCCAACTCTTAACTACTGGTCTTTCCTTACTACAAATATATGGAATAATTTATTGTCCAACATTTAATATTGCAAAATAAATGAAAAATTACTAGTATGTGCTAGGAAGCGAGAAAAGAAGAAATTCTGGGATTTTCACCTAATAATCTACCTCTGAACATAATCTAAGGTGAAACCGAATCCAACTTTTCTTATGAAAAACATTGTAACTGAAATCTTACCACTGCAAACACATCTTTAATTCAGGTTCTTAAAAATTAATAAAGCCTTAGTCTGTAATAAATTTATTTATATAAAACGCGTAAACGTAATGAAAACAGTTTACAAGCTGAACATGGTGTTTATTCATTCAATTTATAGATTAACAAGCTGAAATTAGGATTATATCAGACCAAACATGTAACAAATTCATACCGTCTTGCTTAATTATTTTTTCGCTTCGTGGAGTACTTTTAATTTACTCAATGTTTGTTTAATACTATGTTGAAGCATTTGATCTTTTTACATGGAATGTAAAACAATCTGGGTATTTTACACTTACCGTTTTCAGTGAATAAAATAATAAACCAGAAACATTTGTGAGAAATTTCACTCACATTTTTCCTTGTTCAGTTAAACCTTTGAATAACTCTATAGGAAATTAACTCATAAATGAACTATTAGTTGACGGTTTTTCTAGATAATTAAACGGTTGAAGATATACAAAAATCAACCCAGTGACTTGATTCCTCTGCTATGAAATATATTTATTTCGTTATTTCTAAAATATCTTTACATATAAACAAAGTAGTCTTTATATTCAACCAATTATTTCATAACTTATGAACCGGATTTACATACTAGTCTTAAAATATGTATATTTTCAATCAGTTCACAGGTTAATTAATCAAACTCAATACCAACCCAGTTATTTTTGAAACACAAACCTTATAATTTAACTACATATTTAAGAGATTTTCTGAAATAAAGTTAAATTTATTCATCACTTATATTTAACTGACGATTTGTAGTATTTAACTCCATTATGTAATCAACATGAGTTCAATTGTACATCAGTTAGATTATGAAAGGATTGTTTATGTAGACTAAAATTATTAGCCTTTTGTCTCTTTTAACTATAAAACCCAGTTTGTGGATAAAATTACGTTTTTATTCTTTTTTGTTTAATTAATTTATATTGAGAATATATAAAACTAGTCGAACATTTCATTGGTTTATATAAAGTTGAATATTTTATTACATAACTACTGTATCAAAACAGGCATATACAATAAATTACTTAAATATAATTGTGTAACATTTTAGATTATTAATATAAAAATTATGTAATCACCATTTACCTAGTCAGACAATCTTTTTATTTTTCAAAATCAGTACACAACAAATGAATTAATTTTTATCATTGTAAAATATTTACAATAATAAACAGAAATGAATTCTTGGCTCAGATTCATTGTATAACATTCCCATCTTAATGAACTATATATATATATATATATTCTAGTCAATGTTAATATTGCTTCGATAATCAACTTTCAACTATAGTCCTTTACAGCTGAATGAATTGAACTCAAAATAAATATATGAGAGATAGGTTTAAGATTATCCCTCATCATTCGTCGAATATCCAACATGTGTATGATGAAAATAATTTACACTTATCGATATCTTTTAAAGAATCATAAAAAAAGCTTGAATGTAATAAGCGTTTATTTTATGTGTCTAGATAATCTCTTCTGAAATCTGGTATTAAGTGGTGAATCAATTATGGACATAAATGTATCTAAGTTTTAGAACAGTAAATATTCAAATGGTAATCATAGAGGGAATATTAAATCTCTCAAATCATTATGAAATATAAACTTTGAAGTTCTAGTGCTCAATTTTGATTCAGTCGACGAGATCTACTATCAATTCGTTCTTTACGAAATGGTTTGATTACACGAATCATTTTTTTTAACTGTTATTCTAAAATGTTAAATAATGAAATTTAATAAGAGACATTTAAAGAAAAACAAATACACCTTGGTAATATCATTCGTATTTCTAGGTATTTCATCAAATAACATTCTGTCATTATTATTAAACCTCACTTCATAGTACATAATACAATTAAATTTCAATCAACTATTCTATTATTTCTTTATTACTTAAACAAAATATAATTAATTTTAAGCCCAATTAGCTGACACAAATTTGATAGTCAGATAAGATCACTTACATTATTCATTGTCATTAGTATGATTACATTTCATTTGAGAACACTATCGATTAATCTTTAATAAAATCCATTTCTTTAATAATGAATACTAGTTTAAACTCAATTGATCACTATACTTAAGGTCACAAAGATAGTATCAGATGAATAGTTGATTATATAAGACAAATAGAAGAGTATTAAAAGGTAACTAAATAGCTTATAAATACTTGGTAGATATTTCGAAATAAAGAAGAGACTTTCGATCAAAATCTATGGTAATATATTTCTTGTATTGATGATATTTGATGTATTTTAATTACCGTAATTAAAAACGGATCATTTAACATGTGATACACAGATATCAATATAAAATAGCTTAAATTTCTTATCATTAAAATGAGGAATGTTCAATTGTCAATAAAATATTAACCTGAAAAATCTTTAAAGTAAATCTTAATGACAGTCAATATATAAACCGTTGAGATCGTGAGCCAATTGAAGTTAAACCACTATGGTAAACCTGAAAGCACTGGACGGCCTTTTCGTCGTATTGTGGAACTCCTCAGCAGTGCTCATCCACACCCCCGCCTCTCGGGATTTGAACACAGGACCTATCAGATTCGCGTCAGGCGCTTAACCAACTAGGCCACTGAGCCGGCATTCAACGATTTTAATGTCTACTTCAACTAATCCACAAAATTGAGTGGCAGATCCACCATTGTTATCAGTGAGTTACTATCTCACAACTGACCCGGTTGAACTTCACTGGTCACTACTTTTTACCAGAACTCCGGGACATACCTCTTGAGGCTAGTCACTAGTGAGCATATGTTGATTAATATCAGAAGGAGTTTTGTGGAGATTTTAGTAACTTCAACAGTTGAGGGGTCGTGGGTGCGCACTGCTGAGAAGTCCCACAATACGACGAAACGGCCGTCCAGTGCTTTCATGTTTTCCATGATGGTCTAGATTCAATTGACTCATGATCTCAACATTGAAAATACTACAATCTTCAGAAAACCCCCTCTGATACAGTCAGTATATGCAAAGCTGGATAGTGCCTAGCAGTGAAAACTAGGACCCGCGTTTCGTCCCATTTGGGATTCGTCGGCTACATGTACTTGCATCTCATAGTTGATGTTTACTCTATGACTTGAACCTAGTACCATTGGCTCCAAACATCATCGGATTATCCATCTTTGTTTATAATGCTTATGAATTAGGGCTATATCGAGGCAATACGCACAATATGCACATATTTCAATAAGAGACTGATCAATTGCAGTCCTAAACATCATTGGAAAGATTCAAGTAAATAATATCAAGTGAATCTAATAAATAAAAAAGCTTTAATTTTTGTTATGATATCTTATTGTACTTGAATGACAATGCAAATACAAGTATTTAATCACTAATTTTTCAAAAGGAACTATATATGATTTGGCACGTATTTGTTTGTTAGAAATTTATGCGGGTTATCCAATATTCTAGTTAAATTAATTAATTTATTCATTCAATTGTTTTTTTAATAATTAAATGACATTTTGGCGTCATTTAATTGATTTACATATAAATGTGTGTCTTTTTTATAAAAATTAACATTACCAATACACTAATGTATACCAGCATTATCGAGTACTATATAGAATATAGAATAAAAAAATAATATGAACAATAATTGACACAATGAAAGTAAATCATAGGGAAAATGAGTTGAACTTCTTTTAATTGGTCGAACATAAAATTATGACTTAATGAAATCATTTTATAAGATTTAGCTAACAATTATATGTATTTCATAATGGTATTGTATTCTTTTCATGAATCTTTTATTAATAAATAAAGATAGTCATACTTTATTCAACGGATAAGGTTGATGGGTTAGCAAATTCACTTCAGTGACACGTAAAAAACAGTAGATGATGTATTCAATGAAATTCATGAATATCAAATGCTTATTAAGTAAATTATGGAATTTTATAGATCTGCGTTACATAATTTCCGGAATTTGAAAGCTTTTTTCAAACCATCTAAATTCGTTTGAGCATCCAACGTAATTAGCTTATCTCAATATAATTATCAATACAAACTAATTTAATACTGCGAGTAAAATTTGTACATATTAACGTTGAGAGTTTTTAAAATGCTAATATTTTATTTTATCATCATTTCTAAACGGTCTTGTGTCCTTTGTTTCATTCTTCAAATTATTCAGTATTATCTGAAGTACTAGTTTACATCTTATGACTTTTTTGGAATTATTGTGTAACGACAAAGATATATTTGTTCTCATTTATAGACAGTCATCACTAACGATCCTTAAAGCATTCATGCTAAGAAATATTTACTAAATACTACATTCTATAAGCACATTATGATGTTTATTCAAGAAATGCCAGACAATTCATGATAGTTTTTGTCTCGTCTATCCTGTGAACAAGAGTTGTTAGATGACAATTATTGGTTTTACTAAAAAGTAGTCATCGAAGCTCCAAAACGTTGCTGCAAGAACTATTTTATTTCTATTAGGCCATATGGCTCTAATGTAAATGATTATATATATAAAATACGTTTTCTATACACATTAAGTGTTGTTTAGTTATACAATAACAATAATTTGTTTTTTTGCTAATTTTATTATTAGACTATGGCGGAGGTTGGTTTTGTTTCACTGTATGTATACTGGTTATTGGTATTTTGACCGCAGTTATAGGAGATGTAGCGTCGTCATTCGGTTGTTCAATAGGATTGACTGATGCTGTTACTGCAATAACGTTTGTAGCACTTGGCACCAGTTTACCAGGTAATGTTATAGTACAATTAGATTAATTCAGTATAAAACGTTGTATAATGTCTAATAATATTTTTTTTTCTTTATCCTAGATAAAACGTTTGCAGTTTCTCAATGATTTTTACCTTTTTGATTAAATGTCAAACAAGTATTTTAAATTCTATAAAGAATAAACAGCCTGCGAAGATCTGCAAAATAATTAGCACTCAGACGTATTGTCCCGATGAGTGCGTTGTTAAGCATTGTTTCTTTATAACAACTACATGCAGTGGGAAGAATCTCTAATTTCATTGAATAACAAGAGTAGAAGCGTATTCCAATTAAAGTTTATACACATATGTTGGTATATTATAGAGTAAAAACGAAGCCAATTAACCATCCTAAAGAGATTAGGGAAATAAAAAGTCATTTACAGAATGATCATTTTGCAATTATGAGAACCATCTCAATAATTGGTTTATTCCTGTCAAAATCTTTCAGTTAAACTACTATCAGAAAAGTTAATTTTAAACACTTATTTTTTATAAAGATTTAAAGAAATAAATTCTTGAATAACGATATAACAACTATGAGCGACAGTTTATGCAACAGTAATGGGACATCATTGGGCCACTTATTATGATTATGGGTATTTTATTATCACTGACATGTAAAAAGTCTCTTTTCACTAAAATATTACATAGACTGCAACAAGCTGGGGTTGTTCCTTAAAGCATTATAACCAAATTTAAACAATTATTCAGAGTTTACTTAGAAATATATTCTTTTGATTACAACTACAAGACCTTATTTCAAGGAAAACTTTGCGAATGATTTTATTTTTGAAAAAAACGTTTCTTCACGTTTCCATCTTATTTATATCTACTTCTGTTCACTAATGGTTGTGATTTGAAATGGAGTTACTTTCTTTTTCCGGTACAATATTATTACTTTTCATGTATATTTTTCTACTACAACGAAATCTGACGAACGTTTGAAGTAAACTTTACTTCGACCTATTATGATCTTTAGTTGAAAATTGTTAAGAATTTCATAAACTTTTTTTGTTAAAGTAAACATCACAGTTTGATTTATCCATTTGCTAAATGCTTATACGTGCTGGTTTGATTCAAGATTGTGCCACTCGCAAATGTTGAAGATCTGTTGAATGGGACTAATCAGCGTTCAAAGTAAATATTTCTATTTATTCAGTACAAAGGTGATAAAATGAATAAACGAATATATGATAGAATCTTAAACTGAAATAATTTTCTTATTTATACATTTCCCACAGACCAACCCATACAATGTGACTAATATAACAAGGCTGTCTATGACTAATTCAATTTCACCATATAGTCAGTTAGTCAACTCTATGAATGCATAACGTTACTTAATGTTCGTCAACCATCTAAAGTAAAGTAATTTCTGACTAAACGAAAAACCATTTAGCTACTGGTTACCCACATTACTGTAATATGTTATGTTACAATCGTTACATAGTGCTTATATTTTTTTAAAATTTATTTAACAGTTTAGTAATCTAATCTATTTCATTTTCTACACATTTAAATGTTTTTAGATACATTTGCGAGTAAAGTTGCTGCTATCGGTGATCAATACGCTGATTCATCTATAGGCAATGTAACTGGTAGCAATGCTGTTAATGTATTCTTAGGCATTGGTTTAGGCTGGAGTATAGCAGCTATATATCATGCAATTAAAGGAACACAATTTTTAGTTCAACCAGGATCATTAGGTTTCTCTGTTACTACATTTTGTATATTTGCTGTAGTAGCAATTATTTTGATTATGTTTAGACGTAAAAAATCTATTGGTGGTGAATTGGGTGGTCCAAAAGTTGCAAAATATATTTCAGCTTTATTTTTATTTTTCTTATGGTTTGTTTATATCCTCTTAGCTGGTTTAGAAAATTATTGTATTATTGAAGGTTTTTAATTATTAAAAGGAGAAGAGAGACAAAAAACACAAATGGATAAACGAAGAAATCAGAAAAGAAATAGGAAAATTGTTTACAGTAACAACATTACACAAAGTATATACTTTTATACAATATAAAGTAAAACAAAACTATACAAATATAGAATCATCAATATAACATTTATCTAATTATAAATAATAAAAAAACAATGAGAGAAGCCAACATTTATTATTCCATTAACAACATTACTGACTTATACAAGATTCATATAAGTGATTTATTAAAATTAATAAATACATATGCATATAAACACAATTCTTTAAATGTATTACAGATGTCAATGTTGTTGTTGTTGTTGATGTTGTGATTTATTTCTTTGTTAAATTGTTCAATAGAAAGTTATTAACGGTGACATTAATCATGACAATATTGACACATATTGATATTTTATTGTTTTATTAATAATAATAATAATACTTCATTGAATAGTTTTAGGTATATAAATAGTTGTACTTCCTTATTTTCCCTTGCTGTATCTCTTTCTTTCTTGCAATCATGCAGCCATTTTCATTTACAACCTAAAAACACAAACTAGATTTACTAACTGAATAAACCGTTAAACTTGTTTTCTCCTTATTTTATGATTTATAAGTTTATTCTCATCAATTAAATTGTCTTTTTTTGACACTAATTAGAGGAAAGTTAATCCTAATGATACGTTGTAGTATTCATATATTTATTGTTTATAATATAAGAGTAAATGAGTGTAATCTGTATATTGATCTGTGCTTGTACACTAATTATTGATAACAGAGTCTTAATGTATTTTATTTTCATAGATATTAATTTGCACCCTTTTTTTATTGTGCACAACCCAACATCCTTACTACATATACCAATACATTATGATATATATATATATATATATATATATATATATATATATATATATAAACTGAAATAAACGCTCATAAATTAGATTCTATAGTTTTCCTACATACTTTTCTTGATCAGTAATTATAAGGTAATACAATGAGAAACATATATCCACATCTATAACCATTCTCATTGTTATTCATCCTCATTCGTATGTACATTTTCAAAATAATGATGGATATTGTTACTACTTGTATATTGATTTATTTATCCATTATTTTATACATTCGTTCATTCATTCATATATCAATTTATATATTACTTCAATTTACATTGTGACTTAAATTCACCAATATTAGGCATCAACAGTTTTAATCGTTTCTAATTGCAGGGAGATAAAATAATATCCACGTTGCATAAACTCATCATAATAAGTGGAAACATGACCTTGTTGAAGAACAATATTTGTGTAAAACAATTAAATTAAGTTAAAGGAAAACGCTTGTTTATTCTTCTTTTGAAAGTAAATAAGCCTATATATAGATAGATATACTGGTCGAAACAAATCAGCACTAAAACCGTATCGCTTCTTTTGATTTTCACAATAAAATAAACAAACAAATATTCCTATTTCGACTTTATAATTATTCTAAGGATTTATTCCGAAAAAGTATGCTCATGTTGTTGAGAACAATATTAATGTTAACTATTCGCATACAAGTTCATTGGTGTTTTAAGAGCATAGTCATATGAATTTCTTACTTTCCAACAACTCATTCATGTGAATTTAAATGAGTATTTCTTTTAGAAATAGAATTAAGCATCATAAATTCTGTACATAACATATTTGTACATACATTTAGTCTGATTTAAATATATTTCTCTGCATGCAGTGCCATTTCCTTGCCTTCTTTTCAACTAACTTTTAAAATATCAATCTTTTTGTTTTCTTTTGGATTCATGTACTTACCATTTTGAATCCATCATCTCAATAAGATAAACCATTTAATTTTTCTTTGAATTTCTACACTTTAAACATACACCTTCCGATACTTGGTTTTTTTTTTTCTTTCTTTCTTTGAAATTCTTTCATTATATTTCTTGGAAAATCAAATGATCAATAAATATTTCAGGATGAAATGATTTAACATTTAAACGTGTTGTTACACCTTTTAAATTATACATATATGAGTTTACTAATAAAATTTATGAATGCAAACAGAAATCAAAATCAGCGGCATATAAATCTGAATTATTCATTTTCTCATTTTGTATTTTTACTCCATATCCCAATGTAATTTTGGTGTAATTTTATAGTGTTAGTTATATTTTTACCTACCACATTTAATATTAATTGTCATAAACTTATTAATTACCCATATGTATATTTACATATATGGATATTTACTGTTTAAAAACTTTACACCATATTTGAAATATAAGAAAGTATTGTAATTACATTTTTGTTTCTGCCGTCCATGTACGAGTATATTATTGTAGATTATTTACATTCTTTCTAAAATAAATAAGTTCTCTCTCTCAATATATATATATATATATATATATATATATATACATATTTATCTTACTTAGTTTTGAAAATTTTATCAAGTATTATCATTGATAATGTTCGTCAAACTACTTACAAATTTATGATTAAATCTAATACATATAAAAAATTACACTTATTGAACGGTTTCTAAGCATATTACCAATAAAACTTTGATACTATTCACTAAACCGACGCTGGCTGTTCAATGAAGAACATTTTTTTGCATCATATATATATGTAGAATAAAGTCAAAGAAAATCGGTTTTATTTTAATTATTTATCATAAAGTGAATAACCTATTAAAATGTGTTTTTCAGTAGTTTAACAACCGTTTCTGTTCATTGTAATCAACTTAATTAACTAGACCTTATCACTGAAAATTAAAATAAGTAGTTTGTGGAAGTTTGTAGTTTTTATGACAAATTGACATCTTAGGCACTTACATACAACCTTGCAAAATGGCTTACAAAAGTATTAAACCCTATCTGAAATCAATATTGTAAGTATTCCTTGACTTACTCATTTGAATTAATTAAATACTTAAAGGAGATAAATATAAAGACAAAGACGATGTGCTCCATTAATGTGAACACTTTAATTACAAATGTACCTCTCAGGAAAACTATTGATACTTTGTGTGATTATATCTCTTTGAATAACCTTCCACTGCAATATCCTGCCAACACTCTTAAAGATTTATTATTGTTCTGTACAGATAATGTAAAATTCACTTTTAAAGGTGAGCACTTCTGACAAATAGATGGTATAGTTATGAGTAACCCTTTAGGACCATTTCTGGCTGATGTGTTCATGGGATATGTTGAAAATTTAGTTGAAGACCCAATTCGAAAGATGGCTCTGCATAAGCGATATGTCGATGATATAACAGAGGATAAAGGTGAAGACATAAACCGATTGTTAGAAGAATTCAATAGAAGTCAAAAGCACATTTCTCTTACATGTGAAGAAGAGAAGAACAACCAACTTCCTCTTCTAGACATCCTGATTAGTAGGAGAGATGATGGCTCCATCAGACGTTCTATATATAGAAAGCCAACATGGACAGGGCAATATCCCAATTTTCATAGTCACTGCCCTATTCATTACAAACGTGGTTTAATGAAGAGCTTATTCAATAGAATCAATCGTATTTGTACTAGTGATACTAATGAAGTAGAGACGAAGCTCTTGACTGATACGTTACTGAATAATGGTTTTTCTTTGAAGTTCATAAACCGCTGGAAGGGTTGCAATAACGACTAGACCTATGACGCGAGTTTACATTACGTTACCACTTAGAGACGACACAAATGGTCTCATGTTGAAACGGAGACTTAAATTAGCTACCAACCGGACATTTTATGCAGCCCAACTTGTCATTATTGAAAAGACAAGGTCTATGTTACACCAAAAGCCCAAACAGCACAAAAGCGATTGTGTCACATCTCATTGTGTCTATCAGTTTACATGTATGCGCGGAAACACGTATATAGGGAGGAGAAATCGTGATTTACAATTAAGGGTGGGTGGAAACCAACCAAAATGGTTGCAGAAACGAATGGATTCCAATGGTCAAATTAGATCACAGGATAGACAGACATCATCCTCCATTGCGAAACAGTTCATAAGGTTGACATCAAGTCAGCATTTGTAGTGTTATACAAAAGCCTTCAAGGACGTATACTAAGGTTTATTGAAGCCTTGGCTATACGGAAATTGAAACCCCCTTTATGTGTTTAAAAACAATTTGGCTTTACACTTCACCTACCCTGGAAGTACTGGTTTATTATCCAGAGTGGTAATCACATTTGTTTTGGTGTACTTTATTACTATTTTTTTCTTAGTTATGGCTCACATTTAACCTGTCTAGTTAACCTTGTAATTTTCATATTAAAATGTTCTTAACAATTATTTGTGTGATCAGATTGTTCGAAATGTATTGAGCAAATATATCACATAATTCTGATAAACTTCGTCTTCTCATTGCATTATCGAAATCTTAGGCAATTATTAAAAAGAAATCGAAATGTACTGTTTCGTTACTTCTTCGAAGTTCGAACTAACTCAAAAATAGTATTAATTACTGACAAGAATATACAGTCATTTTAGACATTTACTCGTTCATTCAGTGATCAATGAATTACTGGTATGAATGAACTATTCGCTGAAGCATAAAATAATACTAAAGTTGATAGATAAAATTGCACGAAATAAAACTATTTCTGACTGGACAACATTGCACATCCAACGGTATACAATCAGAAAATTGAATACAACCGCTATCGTGATAAGTACTCGGGTTTGTTAGTTGTAGTGACCCTGTCGATCGATATTGGCTGGAACACTTGTTACTTTAGGTCCTACCATATGAAGCAGGCCGAGAGGATAATGGTATGACTAAAGCTAACAACTTTAGTTCCCAGGCAGATGTCCGACTGGTGGCTGTATGATTGCAGCCATATGTTTCCCTCCGATAACCAACATCGACTGTCTTTTCGCAACGCAAGGAACAGCTTAGAAAGTTTCTTTGAAAGTATCGAGATAATAAACCTGTAACCTCGAGAAATCAGGTCGTACTGCAACCTGTCCCAAATAATCGTTTATATTCATTGACCACACTCTAACAGCACTCAAATATCTCTCGTTCGCTATCACATAAACCGTTCCCAACTATTCACCATTCTCTGAATTAATCACTACCCATCACCAATGCTAGCCATTTGAGTTATGGAACTGTGCCCTAGACAATATGTCGGAGCTTCGATTTTCAAACATGATGTCGAATAGGATAATAGGTTCATTAACTATGACTCTAAGATTTTGAGATTTCAATATACATTGTGTCTTCAAAACATGTAGCCAGTATCGACGTTTGATCATTCAGTTGACCTCCTTCAATATAGAGAATAAGCATTATCTGCATTCTGTGTATAAAAACCTTGATTGATTCTTTTCTCAGCCTCGCTGGTGTTATTATAATATTAGATTTGGTAGTGGAACAGGCATTTATGAGCGGGACTTTGGTACACAGTCGCTCGTGCACTGTCCGAATAAACAGGGCAGTAAAAACACAGAGAGATAAAAATATACCACGTTACTTTTTGTTCTCTAAATACCCTCTCACTGACTGAAATTCCGATGAATCAATAATTGAGGTTTATGGAGAATCTCGACTCTTCAAAATGTCTAACTACAAGACATTTTGATAAGGAATGAAATTATTGCACCGATATACTATGTTTTCGCCACTGACCCCGATGAATCCTGGAGAAGCAAGTTTATTCTGTGTATTTATATATCTGCTAAAGGTCGTTGTTAGAAGTTAGGGCAGGGAACGTGGTAACGAGGGCGAATCGGTTGATGATGTAGTAAATCTCCATCGACTAAAGTAGTCGAGGTGTCTGGTACGAATTACCAAGCATTGTCTACCTCGACGTGTGATGTTGAATGATATAGAATTAGGCTGTGACAAAGCTAAGATTAG